CTATATATATATAATTGCTGGCTAATGTGCATTTAATAAAACCTATTAAATTATACCTATGTGGCAATATAATTTTTTCCCTCCAAAAACAGTTACTTTTTATATATTTAACCTCTCATTTAATTATTAAATAATCAACACATTAATCACTTCAAAATTACAAATATCATTTTAAATTTTTCATTTACTTACAACTGATCAATGATCATACAATGTATTGACTATTTAATGTGATTGTTGACTTATAGTGGTTGGTTCTTGCCTTGTAACGAGTTGGGAGGCCTACTGTCCGAATCCGAACTGGCTGCAACGGAATGTTATTATTGTGGTTACATTTAAATTAATTTCTTTTGAAAAATAAAAAACGTATTTAAAATGAACCTTCCAAACAAATCCAAATACACACTAATAAATCTAGTTCCCCCACTCATCACGAAGTCTAGACCTATCGGTGCGTGGGTGTGAGGACGGACACTCATCAACAACATGATCGGGATCACCACATCTCGAACACTGTCCTCTATCATTTCTGCGGCGCGCCCGACGATCCATTTGCATGCGATAGCGTCTCGTTTGTTTGCGACCGGGTCCAGGCTTCAAGATCATCCTCTCCCAGTCTGGTATCAAATTCCATCCCACCGGCGCCCATGTATCCGCACCAATTGGAGCAAAACTCCAATTAGTAAATTGATCTACCCAAGTCTGCGTCCAAAATGCCATATCGTACAACGACTTTGGATCAAGCGCGATGTGACGAGCTACAGCTATTGCATGAGAGCACGGTTTCCTGTGTGTCTGCCACTTCAGACAACTACAACGTTTCCCACGATAATTAACCTTAAAGTTGTTAAACAAACAATGAGTTATATATATAAACATTCAAATATTTGAATGGAAAAAAAAAACAAAAAAAAAAACCATATATACCTGTTTTGCCCTCTCCCACTAGCCCGTAGACCGGTTATGACCTTGTACCTGGACTGTTCGGCGTCCACACATGTCACAAAATGGGTTGCGGATGTACGCTCCAATTCCAAAAACGCGGTATAGTGCTGAGTAGCAATGAGACTCATGCATCTCGTGGCCTTCTTTTGTTCTTGTTCGAACAAATTCAAAGTTTTGTCCAATGTGACCTGTACCAAAGCTCTGCACGGCAAAAACCTAACGCCTTTCAAAACGTTGTTGTAGCTCTCCGACATATTGGTCGTCAATGTGCCCCATCTACGTCTTCCTTCATCACCATACAGGGTCCACTTGTTCAAAGGAATATCGAAGAGGTACTTGTGTGCCTGGGGATTAAATTCCAACAGTCGCTGTTCTGTCGCTCGAAACTTTCGCTCCGACAGTTGCGAACCCAAATCCCAACACCAATCACGCACTTTCTTATTCTTAAAGTTAGTGACCACGTTGCTTCGAAGGTGTCGAAGGCAAATCCGGTGATATGCAGCGGGTTCTTGCCAACCAACCAACGAGTCAATGGCACTTAGTATGCCGTTATCCCTGTCGGAGAGAACACTGTCGGTCGAACACAACATATTGCCGCACATTTGTAAGGAAAAAGGACCAGCTATCCTTGCTTTCTTCATCAACAATCGCATAGGCGATTGGCAATAGTCGCTTATTCGCTGTCTGTGCTATAGCCACAAGCAATTTCCCCTTGTACGATCCGCGCAAATGTGTGCCATCGATGCTAATGACCGGCGGGCATAGTTGGAAGGTCTGAATGGCGGGACCAAACGCCCAGAATACAAATTTGAATTGTCTGTCTCTATACTGATGCGCCATTTCCCCACCCTGCCATTCCCACTGCACAACTGTGGTGGGATTCGCTCTTTGAAGCGCGGCAAAATACCTGCAAATTACAAAACGGTTTCATAAATAGATAAACATTGTGACAGACAAACAACACATGTATTCTTAATTAATTTTTGCATACCGAGGGAGTTCTGCAAAATTCGATTCCCAGCAGCCATACACACGCTCGATGGCTTTTCTCCTGCCGTGCCACGCCTTCTTGTAGCTTACATCGACTTTCCAGCATTGTTTCACATCGGCTTGGATCAATGTAACGTTGTAGTCCAATTTTTTTTCAATCTTGTTAACTACAAGATTTGAAATCATACGAGCGGTTACGTTTCTGTGGTCATTTCTTTCAACCCGTTGCATACAAGTGTGTCTGTCAGTCCATTCAGTTAATTCCCACATTTCATGAACCCGTTTCTTAGTCACTCGAACCTTCCACACACAAGGTTCGTCTTCATTAGATCTGCAGACCACTTTGAATGACTTTTGGTTAGAATATATTGTTCGAACCGCCCTCAGCCTATCAACGTTCCAAGCCAAGATACCCGATTGTGCCTCTTCCTTGCTTCTAAAAACTGTACCCAAACGAATGGTCTCAATGTCGCCATTCCATAATGGAAGAGCATACTCGTTTTCATCTATCTTTGATGGCTCCCATTCACCCATCTCGCGATAAATGTAGCGACCACCACTAGGAAGAGGGTCTTCCTCTTCAATCAATTCGGGTTCACTTTCCTCGTTTATAGACCTGTCTGATTCGCTTTCGGAGGTCTCATCAGTGAAATCATCTTCACCAGGAATGAAATCTTCATCGCCTTCTTCTTCTTCCCAGTTCTCATTTTCCCATTGCATTGTTGAGCTTGTCCCTTCTCCAAAATTACGTACATGCGAAGTAGACACACCCTCAACATCCACCACTCCCCGGTAACATCCCCACACATCCTCAACCTGTGTAACCGGTGTAATTGTCTCCAACGATAAATGCAAATACACCATGGACATAGAAGGAAGGTAATAAATATACTGAAGAACACTATCGTTATTCAGTCTTATGAAATTCAACGAACCATCGGGTTGAGTAACTATTAAAGTAATCTCTTTCATTCTCCAACCTTCTCCAAAGCAACAATTTTCATTAATCATTTTTACCAATTGTTGATAAGATATCCTCTCCGGAATAAACAATGAACCATCCGGATGATCTTTAAATAAAACGAATTCACTTAGCATTTCCTTCGGAAAATGCCAGTACAAATTAACAAAGTATGCACCGGAATGCGCCATTAATACCTGCTGCAAAAAGATAATTTACATTCTTCCCAATTACAACAACACATAATGTCTAATCCAACACAAAAAAAAAAAAAATCAATTATTTCAACAAATAACCAAAATAAATATTTTCAACAAAATAATTCTCCAAAACCCTAATACCCATAATCAACAATAACATAAAATTCATCTATATTTCGAATAAATAGAAAGTCCTAATTCTAACCCTAATTCGAAAAACCCTAAGCCAAACAACAATGAATCAATACACAATTGACAAATTACAATAAATTTCCATTCTCCAATTCAACTACAAATATTCGATAAACAATTAACAATTCTCAATGTTCAAACACCACTACATTCAAACATACTATAACAATTCCCAATGTTCAAACACCACTACATTCAAACAACCAATTCCCAATTTTCAAACAACTCAAAACAATGTAAAAAATTGAGATAAGTCAATATACCTTGTGCAAAAGAATTAACCGGAAATAAGGTTCGTGTCGTTGTTGTCAATTTGAATCGGGTTAGAGATAGCAATACGCAGCTGGTTGCTCGAAGAGTTCGAAGAGTGAAGAGTGCTCTGATTCCAGCTACTAAATCTCGTCTCTGAAGTGAGGGAAGAAGAGAAGAGTTTTTTTTTTTTTTTATATTTGATTTTAAAACGTATTCCTGTAATACGTTTTCTTCTTTTTTTTAATTATAAAACATATTTTCTGAATACGTTTACTTTATTATTTTTTTTTTTGTAAATTAAACTATATAACGTATTTCGGAAATACGTTTTATAATTACTATTTATGAATTGAATTCCTTCCACTTTATAGCGGAATTTTTTTTTTTTATTTTACAAAAACATTTATAAAACGTATTACCGGAATACGTTTACACTAATAATATTTAATCAGGAAAACGTATTCCGGGAATACGTGGTTTTGATTTTTTTCCACTCCTTTTTTTTTTGTTTTTGTTTTTGTCCACTTGTTTTTTTTTTTTTAAAAAAAATAAATAAATCACCCTCATACATGTAGTCACAATTAAAAAAACGTATTACACACTTTATCTAATTTAGTATTTTAAATATTATATACATACATATAATATATAAATATTTGTTTATCTATGTGCATTTGCACATTATCAAATACAAGTGTAAAGATAACAATATTATATTTACTTAATACATCTAAATAATAATTAAATTGATAAAAAAAAATCTCGACCAAGACGTTCTAAAAATTAACGAACAATTATGTATTAAACACCAAAATATTAATCTCAACAAAATATATTTAATTAAGTTTCACCAAAGTTTAATTACCTAAACGTTATCAAACATTAATTAAGGGTGAAAAATATTGGCTTAAAATTGCAATTTTCACATAATAGTTAAGGCCAACAAACATAGGACAAAACAAATCATTAATCACGGAAATGCAGTCTCGTTACGAAATCATTCTGTCGGGATTTGTAACCGTTAGATCATTTATATAATTATGATAGTTGATCTAACGATTACAAACTCCGACGGAATAATTTCATAATGAGATATATTAAAAAAAAAAAAAATCCGCATCAAATTATATCATTCCCGTTAGATCCGGTCTGGCCGACAAATTTAAAATTCCCACAACTAAATTAATTTAATTAATTTTGTTTAAATACAGATATTTCCTTCACAAAAAAACTTTTAAAAAAATCAATAATACGAAAAAACAAGGAAAACACTTAAATACTAAACAGTAAACACATAATATAACATTGCGTGCAAACATTTGATGCCTTCTCTCTAATCCATCATCAACCCCACCGGCCACCGCAAAAGAAATGCTACAGTGACAGCTGCCATAGCCACGAGCTCCATCTGGGTTTTCGATTCTACACGAAAACCCCCCATAAAAGCCCATCTAATCGCCATGGATCCTTGTGTCGATATCTTCCAAATCTACCGTCAATACTGCGGTAAAATTACGAACTTTTTATGGTTCATTTTATCATCTGGGTTCTTTTATTGAGGCGTTCTGTGATTGAATTCGAGAAATTCGTGATTATATTGGATGTTTTGTTAATGGGGTTTGTTTTTCTGCATACGGACTGATTTATGTGGTGTTTGTTTATCATTTTCACTTGAAAAACTCTGTAGCTTTCTTGAGAAAGGTTTATGGTATTGTAATTTTGTTGCTGGGTTTATTGGAAGAGGGGGTTTAATGGAGGAATTTGCTCTTGTGAGATGTGTGGAGTGTGTTTATTTTTTTACCCTATTGGTTCTTGTGTGCGATGAACTTGCTTATGGCTTAGATGCAGAATGTGATTAGTATACTCAGTTCACATTCTTCTTCGTGGGCCAAGAATAATTTTTTTGCAGTTATTCATGAGTTGTATGTGCTTCCCTTTTTCAATTTAAGGTTCTGAATCCCAGATCTTTGAAGTATTTTAGTCAGAATTTTTGGCCTGGAGAAGTTCTCCTTCACTTACTATTACCAATTGCCTCACTTATATGAATGATTTTATCATGTTGATTGTTGAAAGAACTTTTTCTGTCTTACTTTCCGGTAATAAATGGTCGACCTAGAAATTGTTGTTGGGCTTGGTTTTGATGCACTTTCTTCATACATTTGAGCGGTTACGCTTCTGCAATTGTTTTGTTCTGAGTTCTGATATAAAATAATTCGTTTCAGATATTACATCAAGGGCGATTGTTAATGAGGGAGAAGGATATGGTCCAGACGACGAGTCTCTGAAGGCAAGAATCTCAAGAGAGGCATTAGCCGAGTTGTTGAAAGTGGTGGAATTGAATGTCAGTACAAGGTATTATTTTTTCCTTAATGTTTCCTTTTATTCCATTGCAAATTGTTATTGTTATCATATTTATATTTTCCTTATTTTATTTTTGTCACTTTTTGTTTGTTTATATATGTAAGTAGCTGATAAAAGAATTAAGCGGTGAGTTTACTGTTCATCAGGGCTTCAATTCTTGACGAAGTTTACAAGCTGATGTCAACACTAGAACTGATGGTATATATGCTTGGTGTAGTTCTGCTTCTGTACAACTTCTGTGGCATAAATTCATTTATAAACTTCTTATGTGTTATAGGCAAAGTTTTCAGAGTTCTCGCGCTTCTATGATTTCGTTTTCTTCATTTGTCGAGAAAATGGCCAAAAGAGCATCAGTAAGTTAAGCTACAGTTTTACCATTTTTTACTCCCATATTTTGTATCTCCCATTGGATTTATTTATTTATTTATTTTTTTGCGAAATAATTCTATTTTTAGCAATAATATTACATCAAATAAATGTTTTTCCAGCTGTTAGCAGGGCCGTCATGGCCTGGAGATTAGTATTATCCGGAAGGTTTCGTCTACTTGATCAATGGTGCAACTTTGTGGAGGTAACGTTATTATATACATTGCTGTTATGCTCTCAGTATATTCACACTAGTCTTTATTTTTATAGTCGAAGTTTATTATAATTTTTTTTTTTTTTTCTCTTCAGAAACATCAACGGCATAACATTTCTGAGGACACATGGCGGCAAGTTTTAGCTTTCAGTCGATGTGTCCATGAAAATCTTGAAGGGTATGACCCTGAAGGTATTATTATTGTCTTCTCATTATGTTGTAACTTGTTATTTCACATCATTGCCTAGATTCGTTACAAATGTTAAACATTTTCACCTGGTGATATTTCTTTAGTGATCTGAATATTTTTTTTTTTTCCTTTTTACCAGGAGCATGGCCTGTTTTAATCGATGACTTCGTTGACTACATGTACAGGTACAATATTTTTTGAACTAGTGCAACTAATTTTAGTTTTACTGCCAAAATTATGGTTGAATATTATTAGGTCGTTACTTTTGTCGATAATATATCATTTAGGCGTTTGGCCAGCATTTTCTGAAAAATATAACATCAACTTATTGCACTGTTCTAAAAGTTGGCCTAGGCGGCCGCCTAGGCGCCGCTGAGCGCCTCCGATTTGCACAAATCGGTCAAAAAAATCGGCCAGGCGGCGCCTAGGCGGGCTCGGCGGCCTTGGCGGTTAGGCGGCGCCTAGGCGGGCGTAGGCCCTAGGCGGACCTAGGCGCTCCTAGGCGGGCTCGGCGGCAATTTTTCAGTTTTTTTTTAAAATACTAATTACATTATTTTGTTCTCATGTTTTCTTTAAAATATATTAATGTTATTATTTGGACTAAGGTGTGTTGATTTATTATAAGTTGAGATACTTTTATTTTGTTAGTAGTTAAATAAATAAAAAATAAGGTACTTAATATTGATTTCTAGGCCCCGACTAGGCGCCGCCTAGGCGCTCTAGGCGCTAGGCGCTGATCGAGCGCCTAGCGGACGCCTAGCGACTTTTAGAACACTGACTTATTGAGATATTTTTTTTTTTTTTAGGATCAGGGGATCTGGATGCCCTCCTAATTTGTTCTGCAATTGTGGTGACTCGGAACCCCAACAACGTGTGGACTCAGTGCCTGGTATATTAGCTAATAATATTATGCTTAGTGATGATTAAAAAAAAAAGATTATTCTTTGAAATTATATGCATTAATGAAATGCAAAGCTCGAAGGAGTATTTTTAAGTTCTAGTAGATATCTGGGCTTTCTTTTCCTCTCCTAACAGAAAGATCTAAAGATCAGTCTTCCGGTAGTTTTTGTAATTATCCCAAAGTCACAATATGTAGGCAAAAATGCATTTTTATTCATGTTGGTTTAAATCCATAGAAATTTTAGCCCTAAGGCTATGTTTGGTTCAAAGGAGGGGAGGGGAGGGGAGGGAATTTAATGGAAGGGAAGGGAGGGGAGGGGAAGGGAGGGAAAGTAATTTTACCTTGTTTGGAGGGATTTTTGTACGAGGAGAGGTGAAGAAAAATGATTAATCTTGTTTGGTTAGAAAATGGAAGGGGAGGGAAAATAATATTGAATTGACTATTTTACCCTTAATGATATAAGATATATAACAATAAAATAATATTAATATTAAGGACAAGAAGGTAATGTTACATCTTCACATTTTCCTTCCCCTCCAAATCCTCCCAATTTTGGAGGGGAGCTATTTTTCCTCTGCGCGTGAATTAGAGGGGAAAATCTCATCCCCTCCCCTCCACAAAAGATTGAACCAAACAGAGGAAAATTAGAAGTTTCCCTCCCCTCCCTTCCCCTCCCCTTATTTTCCCTCGAACCAAACACTATGTAAGGTTCCAACTTTTCACCTTTTGGTCCAGTGATTTAAAATTTTGCTGCAATTTGCCAATCTCTTTCAATCTTCAAACGATTGAAATTGCAAGAAAAATTTGGATTACAAAACTGAAATTGCAACCAAGAATTAAGTTGCAACAAAATTTTAAATTATAGGACTTAAATTGCTAATGGAAAATCTGGGAATTTGTTGCAATTTCAGTCCCGTAAATCACAAGACCAAAAATGTGAAATGTTGGAACTTTGGGACTAAAATTGTTATGACATTGAACCAGCAGGACTGAAAATGCAATATCGCCTTATATGTAAATAGTTTCACACTTGTAAACTTTTGTCACCTACAGGGCTGAAAATATTCCCCGGATCAAAGAGAAAATCGGACGATAACATGCAAATGGATGAGGAAACTTCAGATGAGTACGCGGTCTCTAATAGTACTATCAAAAGCACTAAGAGAATGCACTTTTATTTGATCGAGAATACTGTTAATGGTGAGGATGATCGTGTTGGAATAATTAAGCATAATTACAACAATTGTATCCCGTTGGGTGGCACCAAATCGGTTTGTGCAGTTGAAGGTTGTTTGGCCAAGGGTTTTGCAGAGCTTTTGACCAATCAATCTTGTTTACAATTCGATCGGGAGAGGAGAGTTTCGTATACATAAGATGATGAAAACGGTCGGTCGGTCGGGTTTGATTATTTAATGTGTTGTGTGATATTTTGGGCTCTGATTTGTCAGCCAGGATTGTGATTGACATAAGTAATAAAATACATTTTTTTTTTTTTTTGTCAGTATACACTATATAGGGAAAACTATTATTTTGATACTGTTGAAAGTTCCTTATTAGAACTGCTTGGAAATGTGTTTTTGGGTATAATATACAATGGCTGCTGTATTTGTTGTATGAGGATATGAAGTTGTGAATTTTTTTCTTCCTTTTTTGAAGTGTGTGGAAGTGTCCAGAATTGGTCATTACAGTGTGTTTGTTTTTATTTTTTAAAAATAATTCAATCCATATGCAATTCATACTCGAAGTTTAACTTAACTTTAAATTAATCACACTATCTTCAATATTATCAATATAATTAATTTATACTAGTACGACGCTCGTGTATTACACGGGTGCTTGCTAATTTTTTCCTTAAAATCTAAAATTATTGAGAAAAAATAGTTGAAAATTTAAATAACTTTTATAAAAATATATATTATTATATATTTAGTATGACACTTTTTATTTGTGTGACTTACTTGTGTTATATTATAATAAATTTTTTAACTTACAACATATAACTACATTAAACAAAATATATCAATTGAAAAATAATTTTATTTTTCTAATAAAATTTAACAAATATTATTTTTTATTATTATAAAGGTAAATATTATTTATTTATTTTATATATACAATATGGATGTCAAATCGAAGATCATTAAAAGATAATTAGTTTGATATATTATATATGTAAAACCGATAAGAAATACAAAAGTTATCAACTTTTAAAATACATTTATAATTCAATAGCTAATTGAAGGAAACAAATCAAAAGTCAGGGATATATTAGTCACTTAGTGTCTCACTATGTAAAATTACAAAGAATTAAAAGGTTATATTAGTACAAGTAATATTAAAATACCTAAGTTAGCTAAATAATATTTATGGTATGTTCGAACCTAGATATTAATTATTAATATATCAAAATTATTTGTCCGAACCTAATTACGAAGCATGATTCTTCGCCAAGTAGGATTCCGAAACACCAGAAGCAGCCACGTAGGCTCAGCGCATTCGGGAATTATATATAGGGGCGATTTATCAATCATTCTTGCACAAACTGACAAACCATCAATTTTAACTTACTATTCATTCATTCGCATAAATTTAACTAAACATCACTTTATATCATCTATTATTTACTTCTACATAAAATCAACTTTAATTATATTATTTTAAATAATATTTTAGTATAAACTCATATTCCTTATTTTCAAAATTAACTATGAGGAACCAAGCACGCCCTCAATGTACTTTGAGGACAGGGTAGGAAAAGGTGTGTTAAAGTATACGAAATACTATTAGAATGGTTAAAAAACCCGGTCACCGGCAGGCCCAAATTTTCCGATCGCCGGTAGAACAAAACCCGGGTCACCGGTAGGCCCAAATTCTCCGCAAAATTTTTTAGTAAGCTTTAAAAATCGTGATAATCAGTGACAACATTCGAAAAAGTAGTCAGACTAGCGCCTTTTAACTGCCAGATATCATCGCCAACGGGGATTTTTTTTTTTTTTTTTTTTTTTTTTTTTCTTTTCTTCCCATTCTTTACACAGTAAAACAAAGCCTCTCTTAACACAGATCCTCATAACAATCTTTACTGGTAAAACTACTTCTTTCTTCTTCTTCTTCTTCTTCTCACCACTGATACTTAGCAGCCACAAGAACCTCCTCGTAACTCTGAGCCGCATTATCCCAACTCAAATTCTGCGCCATTCCCCTCCTCTGCAGCCCTTCCCAACTCTCCTTATACTCCCTATAAGTCAGCAAGCAATTACCGAGCGCGTGTATCATCTCCCCGGCCTCGGCCCGCGAAAAAGTCCACCCGAGGCCTGTTTCCCCATACGGGTCGAAACTTTTAACCGTATCCCTCAGCCCACCCACCGCATGCACAACCGGCACCGTCCCGTACCTCATAGCATACATCTGGTTCAGCCCGCACGGCTCGAACCTTGACGGCATCAGCAAAACGTCGGCCCCCGCCGTAATCCGGTGCGCCATCCTCACGGAGAATCCCACCCACCCCCTCACTTTATCCTTGTACCGGGCCTCGAACTCCCTCAACATATTTTCCAATTCAGCCCGGCCCGTTCCGAGCATCACGAGCTGCGCGTCCTGGCCCACGATCCACGGCACGGCCTCGGCTATCAAATCAACTCCCTTCTGCGGGTCGAGCCTCCCGATGAAACCGATGAGCGGGGCGTCTTCGCGGGCCGGGAGGCCCAACTCGGCTTGTAGGGCCCGCTTACAACGGGACTTGCCCGTTTTGAGGGTTTCGAGGGAGTAGTTTGTGTAGTTGTCGGATTCAAGGTGCGAGTCGAGCTCGGGGCTCCACTCGTCCGTGTCGATGCCGTTGACGATGCCTCGAAGCTTCCAGTCGATGTCGTTGATGATGCCGTGAAGGCCCCAACCGCCCTCGGGGGTTTTGAGTTCCCACGCGTAGCCGTGGCTTACAGTCACGGCCCGGTCGGCAGACTTGAGGCCCGCCGCGAAGATGTTGAAGTGCGTACCGCCGATCGGGTCGTAGACCCGGAAGAGGTCCGAGTAGTGTTCGGGCAGGTCCACGAACGAGAAGTCGTCCATGGGCCCACGACCCTAAGTTTTTATGGGTCAAATTACGATGAATAACCCTTTCAGGTTCGATCAATTATTACCAATAAAAATGGAAACAAGGAGAAAAATGAGGAAAAATTGCATTTTCAGTCCTAGTCACAAGGTTCCAAAATTTCTGTCTTTTGGTCCTGTGAACAAATTTCCAAATTCCCAGAGTTTTTATTAGCACTATAATTTAAAATTTTATTGCAATTTCAGTCATGTAATTTAAATTTTATTGCAATTTCAATTCTTAAAGGACTTTAAAGGACTGAAATTGTAGCAAGGACTGAAATTCCAGCAAAATATGAAATTGAATAACCAAATAGGCGAAAAGTTCAAACATTGGGACTAAAATTGCTATGCCGATAAACCAACAGGACTAAAGATACATTTTTGCCTTAAAAACTTTACCTTCACGGGTGGTTATGGTTTATTTGAGAAAATCACACTTTTAGTCATGTATGTTATCAACCACAACTCTTTGGTCCCCATTCGAATTGCTGTTTTGAATTTCGTCCCTTATGTTTGCAGTAAGGATACAAAAGGCCCTTTTCGCAACAAAAAGGTTCCCTTCGAATTTGAAAAAGGTCGCAATACTCGGAGAATTTTTAGTAGCCTTTTAGCAAACACAAGGGACGAAAATTAAAACAACAATTGGAAAAAAGTAGGATAGTAAAACATACATGACTAAAATTGCTGCACTTTTCTCCAGCTTATTTCAAAGCTGCAATTCTTTGGATCTTCCATGTTTATAACAAAGAGCAACAAAAGTACTAGGAACAAACCTGATGAGCTACATTGTGAATCACGAGGACCGATCTTGTGTATTTCATTAACCCATGGTCACGATAATATGCTTTGAGGTACACAGGCAATAAGGCGGTGTGCCAATCGTTAGCTATGAAAACTAAATTCCCATCTCCATAGCAGATTCCACCACATGGAACATACCAAGGCACCTGAAAAATTACGTTTTTTTTGTCATTTTAGATTTGTCAAAATGTATATGATCAGAAACAATTTTTTTTTTTCAATGAAAAACATTACGGAATACTTGTTAAAAGTCGTCAATTTAATCATACCTCTACAGCAGCTTTACAAAACAAGATCATGCGCTTAAGAATGTCCTGCAATAAAAAAAAGAAAAGTATATTAAGACTTGTAAGTGTTTTTTCTTTTTTTTTTTTTTT